GCACAGGCTCCGGACGCGCAGGCTCAGCGGCCATGGCTCACGGGACCAGCCGCTCTGCGGCATGTGGGATCCTCCCGGACCGGGGCACGAACCCGTGTCCCCTGCATCGGCATGCAGACTCTCAACCACTGCGCGCACCAGGGAAGCCCCTATCCTTCTTACTCTTTTTATTACCTTCCTTTTATCCCACTTAAAAAAATTCCCCAACACAAAAAAATTTGTGACTTGATTTTTTACCATTACTCTGAGTGAGGTTTAAATATTCTTGTTGTAGCTACTGTTTTTAATTTAAAGGTTAAACTTGAAAAAAAGTTTTAAGTCATGGTGCCAAATTTCATTTTTCTAACACCATGTGTTAGAAAATTATGAAAAATAAAATAATTTAAAATAAGTTTCTGTTCTCTTTATTATTGGTGATTTATCTTTAGAAGAATATATGGTGGAGTATACTGAAAGAATATCTGGATGCAATAGGCTGTGATTTTTAAATTTTGCTTGGTACATTTACTGATATCAGAACTTAATAAACATTCTAGTTATTGAATTCCAAATTGAATTGTAATATCTTCAATTTCAGACTGACTAGAGATTTCATCTAACTTATTTTACAAGTGAGAAAACAGAGACAGAAATATTTATTTGATACATATTTATTTATTCAGTGGTGTTTTTCAAGTCCTTACTGTGGGCCAGGCACTGGTCCAAGCACTGAAGGTATGATGATGAATAAGATGTTATATTACTGGGAGATGGATTTAGGAAATAAGGAGTTGGGTTCTATCGCCTTTTTGTTCTTTATTGGAACTTAATATCCGAAGTAAACTCGTACTATCCATCAACTTGATTGAAGAGATATTTTAGTAATTATTTGTGAATTGTATTACTATACTTCAGGATGCTATTCTAAATATAAATACTGGTATGTCATGGATACCAACCATTCAGAACAGACTTTGGTTATAAAAAACAGTTCTACCAGTGCAAGCCAGCTTAATGTCCCTTGTGGTACACTTCAGAGGAAGGACATAACCAGATACTAGTTTTTTCCAGTAGTAGGTGGTGACTTATAGTAGCTATTTTAATCTCATGCTATGTTGCCAGAAATTGGATCAAGGCAATCAGCTGAGCACATTTTCTACCCTTCCTCTTTTTCCAGACTTCATGAAATTATATGAAATGTACTTTTAAATAGAACAATTTATCCTGAAGATTAAATCTAGTCCTACTGTTATCCTATCAACTATCATCATTATCTTATTACTCATCGAGTATTACTAAGTGCTGGTCATAACATGGGCTGGGCACCACATTATAATAATTGGGGCCATTTATTGAGTCCCTACTGTAGGCCAGCTACTTTATGTAGGTTATCTATAATTGTCACAACAATCTCACAGTGCAAGTTTTATTATCCTCATTTTATGGAAGAAAACGAAATCTCAAGAAGATAAAATGACTTTCCTAAGGCCACACAATGGGCAAATTGCAGAAGCAGGGGTCGTCTGTAAACACAGATCTGTCTGGCTCCCACAGGTCTGTCTTTTTCCACTAACTCCCAGTCTTTTGAAAACAAAACTGAGTTGTAAGAATGGTCCCTGCCTCTAATAGGATTATATCTGTGTAGGAGAAAGAGTTAAATTAATAAACAAAGACTATCAGATAAGGAAATACTATATAAAACATGAACAGTGAAAATGTGTGTATTTTGCAAGCAATGATTGCTATAAATGAACAGGAAGGAGGAGGGAGGACATCGGTGTTGATTGAAGTTCCTGGGGAGGTTTCATCAAACAAACAAAAGAACAATTCATAATTAATGAACGAAAGTGCGAGAAATTCCGTAAGTAGGTCAAAAATTTGAAAGCTGGAAATCAGGCAGGATTAGATGGATAGGGAAAGCTATAGCTTGAAACATGTTCAGCTCTGGCAATCACTAATCTATTCTCTTTCTGTGAGTTCAGTTTTTTAAAATTCCACATATATGTGAGATCACACAGTATTTGTCTTTCTCTGTCCTATTTCACTTAGCACAATGCACTTAAGCCTCATCCATGTTGTCACAAATGGCAATATTTCCTTCTACACCATGGTTGAATAATATTTTAGTGTGTGTGCATGTGCATGCGTGTGTGTGTGTGTGTATATTTATATATATCATTTTTTCTTTACCCATTCATCCGTTGATAGACACTTAGGTTGTTTCCACGTCTTGGCTGTTGTAAATAATGGTCCAGTGAACGTGGGAATGTGAACAGCTTTTGGGGATAATGATTTAGTTTCCTTCAGATATATTCTCAGAAGTGGAATTGCTAGATCATATCATCTCAATTTTTAAGTTTTTGAGGAACCAAAATCTTTTAGTATGGAAATACATCTATGTATTAATTGTAAAGAAAAAAAAACAGTAGAAAGAAAAGAGAATGTAATTTAATTACAATAAGTTGAAGTGTATTGATGTCAATAGTAACTATTGGTGTCTGCGGGTACATGTATGTGAGTGTGTGTGTATACATATATTACCAAAGGGCTTTAAATGCTAGTGATGAATAAGATGTTATATTACTGGGAGATGGATTTAGGAAATAAGGAGTTGAGTTCTATCGCGTTTTTGTTCTTTATTGGCACTTAATATCCGAAGTAAACTCGTACTATCCATCAACTTGATTGAAGAGATAATCATTTTTTTTTTCATTCTTAATGTCCATCGGAATCAATGTGAATATCTTCCCTTAATATGCATACTTTAGTAGTAGTCCAGTATATTAATTTTTTTCACTCTGCTTTATTTTTGAAAAACACTAGTAATTTACCTGTATTGGTAACTTACCTAAGAAATCAAGTACCCTTCTACAGAATAAACATTATGGAAAACAGTTAACATACAATCTGAGTGGTCCATCCTAATGACAGAATCTCTTTATATTTTCCTTCACTCCTACTTTCCTGTCTGTCATATGCACTTCTTAATCTCCCTGCTTTCTAAGCCCTAAAGCCCATCTTGTATGACATTTTGGGGGCATGTCATTCATTTGGAATATGGAGTGGTCTATACAACAGATCTCTTCAAGTTGCAGGAAAACCAAACAAAATTTTCTGTAACAGTTGAGAGTCAGTCTCAGTAAATACCTCACTTTGACTAGATGTTGACTATTTCAGAAAATTAAAGTCTTTAAACTTGATGAAAGCAGCTTTTGTCAAACTGCACTGTTTATCTGTGTCTTTCAGAATAGCAAGCTACAGACTTAGTGTAACTCTTTATTAAGAAAAAGCCATTGCGGAGAAACGGGGGAAATGTATAAAGCTCTTCAATGAAAGCAATGAATTTTGGATTAAATTTGAAGAGAAATACACTAAGAAATAAGTAATGAATAGAGAAGAAAACTGTACACACAGACATGCTTTTAAAATGCAGAGTACTATATTGCTAAGTTATTCTAATAAAAAGAATTAGAAAATTGGAAAGATGGATATATATGCAAGGGATGTGTGGACTTTATAAATTTCAAATCTTCCAGGCAGTTTCTTTTTAATTTTAAAGATAAACTTTAAATTATATTTTTGTTTTATTCTTAATATATTGAAATAAATTAGAAAATATTAATTTGGAAAAGTAGCCTCTTTGCTGATTCTTGAGGTACTGTAATATTTTGTGTGATAAATCAAGTAACAATGATTATTTTAGCATGCTATTCTATCTTTATTGAAAAATGGCTGACTTAAAAAAATCTGATTAAACTCTTTTGAAAATTAGAAAAGAATTTCTGCCTATTTAACACGATAAACAAGTAATCAACTTAAAGAATGGTTTTAACAAAAGAAATGGAAAACATCATGCATGCTATCAACAATTTAAGGAAAATATTGTTCCTTTCAAATTATCCTCATCCCAAAGTAACTATTAGATTGCAAAAAAGAGAATTCAGGGATGTAGAAGGAGAAAAACAAAATTCATGTAGATTTGTAATAAGTAATGAACTTCTCTGTGCTTAATTATAAAATAATTTTAAAAATAATTTTAAAGGACATTTTTCTTAACACTGATTTAAGTTCAGTTACTTTTCCTTTAGGAATGTAATCTGAAATGGCAGAAAAAGTCCTTAAGGAGAGCACATAATGATATAAAATCCTGCACCTACTCAGGAGACTTAAAATTTGACAGAGCTTAACTTCCAGGTGAGAAATGGACAAATTAAAGCATAACTTTCTTCTGATGATCATAAATGATTAGATAATTGATTAATTGAAAATGTGCATATTTAAAAAATGAGATTATTCTATTAAATTTTTTATTATTTTCATTTGTGATTACATAAATATACATTTTACAAATCTTGCCAAATTGTGACATCAGAGCCCCACCTTGTGGCCAGTGTAGATAACTAATAGAGTCCAAATTTTAAGCAAAAAGCAAGAGCCTTAAATTTTTTTTAAGGTT